CGCCTGCTTTAAGATGGGTGGACTTCAACTCCCAGAATCCCCCAGTCAGTGGACTTCAACTCCCAGAATCCCCCAGTCAGCATCCTTTAAGATTGGAGGACTTCAACTCCCAGAATCCCCCAGTCAGCCTGCTTTAAGATGGGAGGACTTCAACTCCCAGAATCCCCCAAGAATCCCCCAGTCAGTCTGCTTTAAGATGGATGGACTTCAACTCCCAGAATCCCCCAGTCAGCCTGCTTTAAGATGAGTGGACTTCAACTCCCAGAATTCCCTAGCCATCTCCCACCCCTTCCCCCCCCAAGCCCCCATCTTTTTATGCTAATGATTTCAAAAAAACAACGTGGAATTTCTTCTCATTTTGGAAGCGCTTTAAATATATAACCATGGCTGAAGTTTCCGCTGTATCAAAAGGACACAGCTAGGGCAGGACAACAGGAGGAGCCGTGTAATGGAGGGAGGATATTAAGAGCTTTACGCTTAATTCCTGGGAAGGGATTAACAAGCCAAGATTAGTAGTACAGTAGTAGTACAGTAGTAGTAGTTAATAGCCATTTCTAAATTACCAAAAAGCAAATTTGAAATACCTTGTTAGGTGACGAGATGCCCCAAAGAGTTGGGTTTGATTTAAATCAAGTCGATTTAAATCACGATTTAAATCACTAGTAAAAAAGGCTCGATTTAAATCATATTTTTTAAAGAGCAACGACCACCTCTGCTGTGAAATTGTGTGAATGCATCAGTGCAGTGTGCACGTTATCTCAACTTGCAGAGCTCGGATTCACTGAAATGCGTTTACCAGAAAATGTAAATATTGCAGAATGTTTACAGCTTTCTGCTACATTAACTAAGCTCCACTTCATGCTGAATAAACCAAATTATTAATGTATCTTAAGTAGAAAACTATCTTTTGATAGATTTTTCTTTTACTCCAAAAGCATTCTATTAAAATAAATTTGATAAAAATATAAAAAAAATCTGATTTAAATTTTAAAAATCCAATTTGTTTTTTAAAAAATCATGTTTTTTAAAAAATCAATTTCTATCCACCCTGCTTGTGTGCAACATACGTGCGTGTAACATGTATCAGTAGAAGACGGATGAATTGGGAGGGAGTCCTCGACTTACGACAAGGGACCAGAATTTCCACCGCTCAACAAGGCAATGGAAGTGAATCACGCACGTCGTTTCATGACTCCCTTTTTTTTGACTGAGTTGTTAAGTGAATCAACCATAGTGGTTGAGTCACACCGTCGTTAAGTGAACCCAGCCTCCCTCTCTTGACTTCGGGCTGTTGGGAATCCCTGGCTGGGAAGGTTGCAAATGGGGGATTGAGTGAGCCCAGAAGGCATCGTAAAATACACCCTGGGTTGGCAAGCTCTCCAAGTTTTATTCTACGACCTTGGGGAAGCTGCAATGGTCATAAGGGCGAGGACAAGTTGTTACCAGAGCTTTTCTGGTGGCCGTTGTGATTTCAAACACAGCTAAACAAACGGTCGTAAGTCCAGGGTGATACCTTCGGGAATGACGTGATCCAAAACCTCCCATTTGCCACAGGAAGGCCATTGTAGCTAGTTCTCGACTTATGACCACAACTGAGCCCCAAATGTATGTCGTTAAGCGAGACATTTGTTCAGTGAGCTTTGCTCCATTTTAAGACCTTCTTTGCCACAGCTGTTAAGCAAATGGTCAACTCATAAAATATTTCTAGGCCTGTTTTAGAGCTGCCATGAACAAGGGGGAGAAATTTGGAGAAGCAGTGCAGCAGTTTTAAAATCGAAAGTGCATTCCATTCATATCTTGCAAAGATTGTAACTAAGCTACCGGAAAAAAGCGCACCAAAACGTGCCTACCATCCCTGTCCTATTGTTTATTTATTTTTTCTTATTCGTATCTATTTCATGTATTTATAACCATGTTTATACTTATACCTGTTATCAAATAATTGCTTGACAAAATAAATAAATAAATCAATGAAATTTCTGCCCCAAAATTCATAATTGGAGAATGTGATTGATTAACTCAGCTATGAACTGTTGGAGAATATGAATTATGATACACCCAGAGGGGTGGGAGGGAAACCAGGGTCGTAGGTGATAGTGAATTACATGTCTCAGCATTAGCTTCATACAGGTCATGCCGACATGTTCGTTCCTAATAAATAGTTTGAAGTTTTTTAAGCTTGTTCAAGGCTCACGATTTAATTAGGGCGACTGCTGGAATCCTGCAGTTTTGTTAAGGTAGTCACGCGGTCCTTAAGTGAATCCGGCTTCCTCGTCGTCAGAAGGTCACAAAAGGGGAATCATGGGACACCCCCCCCCTGGGACGCTGCAACCGTCGTAAATACGAGTCATCTGCCAAGGGTGTGAATTTTGATCATGTGACTACAGGGATGCCATGGTCGCAAGCGTGAAACACTTCCTTCAGTGCCGCTGCAACTTTGAATGGTCACTAAATGAACTGTTGTAAATCGAGAACTACTGTCCTTTAAGAGGGCAGAGGCACATGTAGTCTTCAACATACAGCTGTTCGAAGTTACAACGGCCCTGGGGAAAAAAAGCGACTTAGGCTTTCCCAAGGTCCGTGATCAAAATCCACACACTTGGCAACTGAACTCATCTTTATGACAGTCGCAGAGTCACGGAAGGGGGGGGGGGGGTCATGATCCCCTTTTTAAGACCTTCTGAGTGGCCAACTCAGACGGATTCACTTACCGACCGCGTGACTAACTTAACAAAAAACAGCAGCGATTCCCAAGCATGGAAAGGAAAGTCGTAAAATGGAGCAAAACTCACTGAACCAATGCCTGGCTTAGCAACAGAAATTTGGGGCTCCATTACGATCGTAAGTTGAGGACCGTCTGCATTCTATAGTATGTTGTATTCAGACTCATCCCGTTTGCTCCCATTTTGAAAAAGGTAGCCAACATTTTAGCCGAATGTTTTTAAGATCGAAAACTTGGCTTAGAAATCCTTTATTTTCAGAAAGGATCGGTTGACGTAGACTCAAAGGGTCTCAAAGGTTGAATCGTGGCAAGTGGAGGACCAAAATTCGTTAATCTGAGCCAACACCCCAGAAGACCTCCAGAGTTCAAGGCCCAAAAGGATCTTGAACCAACGTGAACAATGGGCCCTCTCCAACAAAATGAATTTTAATGTGGAGAAAAGCCAAGTTTTACACGTTTAGGTTTTTAAAAATAATCAAAGATATAAAGTAGAGAGATGAGGTGAAACCTGGCTCAAAAACAGGAATGGTGAGGTGGACCTTGGAGTCCTACTGGAAGATCCTTTAAACCTGAGCCAGCCACGTTCAGCAGCAGCCAAAAAATGCTAATACGATCTTTGGTTGTATAAGCACAGGCATGGAATCAAAATCATGTGAAGGATTACTACTGCTTTGCAAAGCCTTAGTAAGGCCACACCTGGAATATTGCATCCAGTTTTGGTCACCACGTTACAAAAAAAAAGATGTTGGGACTTTGGAAAAAGTGCAAAGAAGAGCAACTAAGAGGATTAAAAGCCCCGGAGACTAAAACATAACGAAGAACGGTTGCAGGATCTGGGGTTGGAGTCTGCCCCAAAGAAAAGGGGGTCAACATATTCTCCAAGGCAGGGGTCCCCAACCACCGGGCCGCGGACCGCTACCAGTCCGTGGAACATTTCCTACCAGGCCACCGGTTTGCTGGGCGCCGCCATCTTGTTTGACGAGAAAGTGCTTCCGGGTGAGCTTTTCCGGTTGGAAAGCGGCGTTTGGGTCCTGAAGGAATCCTCGCGCCTTAGTTTCATCGAAGGGGGGGGGCTTCGAATGAAACTAAGGCGCGAGGATTCTTTCAGCACCCAAGGCAAGGCGAGCCGAGCGACCGTCCCGAAGCCGTCCCGAAGCCCATCGACAAAGGTACAAAGGAGGAGTTGAAGGTGGCGGGGAGAAGCGGGAGACGGCTGGCTGGCCGGTTGCTCGGCTTGCCTTGCCTTGTCATGCGTGCTGATGCCGGTACCGGGCCGCGGATCATTTTGTGATGGCGGTACCGGGCCGTGGCACAAAAAAGGTTGGGGGCCACTGCTCCAAGGCACCTGAAGGCAGGCCAAGAAGTAACAGATGGAAACTTACCAAGGAGAGAAGCAACCTGGAATTAAGGACAAACTTCTTAACGATGAGGACAATTAACCAGTGGAACAGTTTGCCACCAGAAGTTGTGGATGCTCCATCACTGGAGGTTTTTAAGTCACTTATCTGAAATGGTACAGATTCCCCTGTTTAAGCAGGGGACTGGACTAGAAGACCTCCAAGGTCCCTTTCAGTTCTATTCTATTCTAACTGCTATTTCGTT